GATTTATTATATAAATATTTTTTTATGCTATGCATAATTATCGAGTACATGTATATGTATATTTTTTGTATACTTAACTTGAATAATCACATTTATAGGTAATTATGTTCTTTGGTTTGATGGAATAATAATAAATAAAATATAATTCGACACCACATTTCACTTGCCAATTGGATTTTTTCTTGTTTTTCAATATATTTCTTGTAAACCATAATATACTACTATATTATACTATTTATATAAATTATTAATTACATATTATACCCATATATTATATATTGCTTACTTGATTAATATATTAATATGTTGTTTCTGTTCAATTTTTATACTAATTACAAAAATTATATATCCCATGATTACAGAACACTGGTCAAAAATTATTTTCTATGGAAACTACTATTATAAAACTTACGAAACTTTCCCCATGCTCCAAAATACACAAAATAATATAAAATTGATACACAATTGCGCTACGACCGATGTCCGGACAAATATGTCCACTGTTCACTATTAATCACATATAAAAAATAATATCAAAAAACAATTGCTCTGGTTATAGTTTTTTACATAAACAGAGTATGATACAATTGCAATCTAAAAAAAATAGCACGATTACGTACGTTTTACCTTTTTATCTTCAAGTAATAAAATATTATTACACTCCGTGAAATATAGGTATTTTATTTTTATCGGCTTCTAAATAATTTTAATACAAATTATAATTTGTTATGAATAATAAACTACAAATAAGCAAAATATACTGAAAAACGATAAATGGACAAAAATGTGTTATAACTAGGGATGGGTTCTCCTACACTTCGAACCTTTGAACACCTCGAACTTTAAAAAATTTGAACAGTTCAAATTTCGAGAAAAATACAAGTTTGAATTCGAACATAATTCATAAAGTTAGTTAAATAAAAAAATATAAATTAATAACTAACAAGTTATATAATAATTAGAAATAAGTTATAAATAATAACATTACTTAATTATTTTACTTCTATTATTATATTAAACTTTTAAGTTTGTCATACCTAGTTAGTTAAAACTTAAATTTTTAAGTGTGCTCTTTTAAATGTTTTAATTTTTCAAAGTTCGAAAGATCAAAAGTTCGAAAATAGTTCGAGTTCCAACAGTTCGAGAAAAAAATTATGTTCGAATTCGGATTCGAATTTGTGAAAACTTCAGTTCAACCCATACCTAGTTATGAACTGTTAATAATTGACTTATTGACGGAGTCATAAATTTTACAATACCTATACAAATATATGTTACGGATAGAGTAAGAAAGTCGGGTAATGTGAACACTGCCCATGTTTATTAGATAAAGTAAACATATTTGTAAATTGTTAATTTTGTAAGTACATTAACCGGGTAATTTGTTCATTATCTACCTTTGAGTGGACAATGTATTTTCATAAAATAAAATATGACAAAATATGAATTATAGATAATATTGATAAAATACGATAAAATATACATTGTACCTACATGATGATAAATCGTGTGCATTGATATTGTATAATAATTTTAAACTACAGACGGCGCTATTGATTTTCGAGTTCACTTGTTTGGTTTATTAATGTTTGATCATTTATTTTTTTTTTAAAGGAACTTGTCTTCACAAAAAGATAAATTATATGAAAATTATAATAAATAAATGAATGAAAAGAATAAAAATTCGGTAAATTTAACGGAATCAAAATATTATAAGATACTATCTTAAATAAGAAACGTGAATAAAAATAAATAAATCATAATAAAACTTTTATAAATATTTTATAAGTTTCGGCTACAAAAAAATTTTAATATAATAAATTCTTATTATATGTGAAATAGCTAATGCACAATTTTTGTTCGGTGGTCAGTTTTAAAAAAAATATTTGTGTGAAAATAATCATTTAACAAATAAATGTACGAGTAAATGTACATCTGGGGAGATATTTTGCAACTCAAAATGCCTCAAACTGTTCCAATAAATAAATATATTTAATTTTTTAAATTTTTTTATTATAAAATAATAACTTAATAATACATAGTTTAGGTACTTAATCATTTTTTTTTTTTTTGAATTAACCTTATAGCACACTAGATAATGTACACATTATACTATTCATATAAATAAGGTGTACTTTACCCGAGTAATGTGTAAACTACGCATTTTTGAACTTAACCCGTAAAATATATATTAATATTTTTTTTATATAAGTCAATTACATTTTTAAATAATTATTAACATCATATATTTACGTTACATATACATCTATAGTACATAGTTTTATGCTGGTCATAACAAATCATTATTGGTAAACTCGAAAATATAAAGCAGTCACTTTTGCAATAGACATGGAAATATTTATAAATAAGGAGAAATGTAAAAACAAAAACCATAGGTTTTTAGATTTAGATTTTTCTTTTTTCAATAGAAAAATGTATAGTGAAATTTACTGTATTATACACCAACATCTTTTACAAATTTATATTTATAAAGGTCAAATAACAAGAAAGATTTGTTTTTTTATCCTCGAGGGTCAAAAAATATCTGTACATTTATTCAGCTTAGTCTATAAGAACAAAAAGTTCATAAACTTTAAACAGACCTTGGCTGTATCCGGAATTATTTACTAAGTAGTGTAATAATTATTAGCTGGCATTATTTCACAAGAAATAACGTTTCTTTTTTCCTTGATTTGAATTTTTTAATAAAATTATTTTATTAGAGATTGAAAATAATTTTACCATGTTTTAAGAAAAAAATAACAAAATAATAATAAAATAAATTAAAAAAAAAAAAAGAAATACTAAATATTTAAAAGGATCTATTAACCAATCATAATTATTAAGTTAATGAGATCAAAATTGCAATATATTAGTCACATAATAAAATATCAAGAATTTATTCCATATTAAGAATTAAAGAGGAAGGCTAATGATAGAAAAAAATGGATGTTGGTGTAAACCAATCATTATATTGAATAATGCAAAAGAAGAATAAATTATTAAATATCGAGAAATATGAACGAAAAAATACGTAGTAAAATACTTCAATACCCCAAAGAAAAAATGTTTACGAAATTACGGGAAACGACTATACAAATCGTTCATTTGGTACACTTAATGCCGATTTAAATACCTTCCACCAGATATTATTCGAAGTTATTTAAATAAATAAACTATTTTGCTAAATTATTAGCGTATAATGTGTATCCCGGTGTTAAATATTCAGTAAATTTAAAGTTATCGAGTAACCTAACACTTAGCTTTCTGCTACAGATAGTTGTGAAATGAATAACTACAATAAGTTTTCTATTGTTGGTGAACAGCTTAAAACCTAGTTCTAATTGTATTCATGTCACATAATTTACCATTGTACTATACTCGCGTAACTCTGCTCATATATATTTCGAGGAAACTCTGCAAGAGATTGGTTGCTCGAAACACCGTTCATTTTAGACCTATTAGATGTTGTCCAACCCTGTTTTCATCATTAATATTTTTGTAAAAATCGTCATGAGATTCTATGAAGGATCTTTGTATTGTGTAATATTTTTGGTATTACAAAAGCACGCAAAATACATAATCGATATGAGTGTTACAGGAATAGTGCGTGTTAATAAAACTCGTTCGGTGAAGTTTTGATTAACTTGACACGAGTTCAACGTGTTGATTTAAACGGGCGCGTAATAATATATTGACAGTTGTATAGCGAACAAATTATAGCGTAAACATAAGAACATTTTACATACAATATCAGTGACGTTTTAATAAACCAAGACAGTGGTAAAACATTATACTATTTCTATCGATTTATTTCATATAAATGTCTTATTCTCACAATTGCGATGGTTGTTTTAATCAACCATAAAATTCAAACTTAAAAATAAAACAACATTTAAATTCACTCACTAAACCACAGTTCAAACAGTCAACAGTTTTTGACCCCATACTTGAAGTGTAAAAAATTAATAAAAATTAAAATAAGGAATGATCCGAAAAAAAAAAAACGTTTGCTATACGTGTTTTTATATATATAACGTCATCAGCGAGTAAATATATAATTTTGTATTTTTTACGTACACATGCACTTCTTGCCCATTAATATTTGTCTCTCAGCGTATAGTAAAACCAAAGGACTTGTAATGTATATAATAATACAAAGGTAGTATTTTTTCCCCTAAAAAACACGGACGAATTCAACACCGAGAGCACGAAACGCAATTCTATGTTGCATAGTCGTCACAATGAACGGCTTTAACAAGAAATATGGTTAACTCGTCCAGGACCAGAGGTGAGTTATTAAATTTTCTAAAAAACTTCTCTCGGAAGTGGTGACTCGCTATATGTGTGTCAACAAAGTACCTATCAATTCCAATAGCATAAAAACTGGCACATGGTGTAAGCTGGTCGTACGATAATCAATGGCTTCCGACCTGAAATCTCATGAATCTTTGAAAATTACGTCTGCTTTTTTATAATAGATTGTTAAATATAACAAGGAATATTTCCAGAAGATTTTAATTTGAAAATATTATTATTTGCAATGTCGGAAATGATAAAATTGGGTGAATGGATTTTGATTGCGACAGTGAAAATCACAATATCAATCGATGATACATAGGTATTGCCATTTGTTCACCGATTCATAGAAAATTACATCGTAATAAGAAAGAGTAAAAAAAAAAAAAAAAAACAAAAATGTTTTCTTAATCATTAGCAACTACTAGCTCGTGTTATAAAATACTTGAAAAAAATGTATATTCTTTAGTAATGTAATGAATTCTATGACAATATTATGCGTTAGATTCAAAGGTACTGATTTGGATTTTTATTCCGTCACCAGTGTGATTATACCTCGCGTAACGCACGTTACGACATAATCAGTGGTATACAGATGAGGTGTCATTATTTTTTATAATTTTGTATTTTATTTTTATGCCTAAAATAATAACGATACCTTCAGTTTCGACGATAAACTACCAACGAAGAAAATTACTTACCACCGATGACCCGACAAATGAGAGCCACGTCGTCACCCTCGGTTAACGGACCAACCGTAACGTTCAGCGACCTTCCCCACCTGTCAAACACAACCGGATGTTCCGGAGGAACTGAAACAAACAAAACAAAATGAAATCGTTACTACAATATTATGGTAATTATATCACGACCACGGTGCAGTAGTTAACTTTATTAATATTACATTAAATCGTATTAATTCTATAATTCTAACAGCAGCAGCAGCAATGATGACGACAAAGACGGCTAAAATGATGAGGTCGGTCGTAAATATTAAATCACGTGCCACACCTCTGCCCGTGGTCTCCACCCCATGTCTTCATCATATCAACTATATCACCCCTCGGCTATTCGATGAAACCGACGGAAATCGATGCGGTGGCTGAGTGTTGGAGACCGGCGTTCGAGGGGAATTTGCAGCCGTAGACACGACAATTGTTCGACTATTGTGTATCCGCACGGTTTCCCTTTCCGGCCATATCTTGGACCGGAGCTATTATATTTCCACAAAGCCAACTTTCCCGTTGCCGCTAACCTTCCCTTCCGCCGCCGAACCGTTCTAGAACCACTACCGTGTACCCGTTATTTCGCGGTGTTTACCATGTTTCGGTCAATGTACGTCGTCCTGCTACGCGGCGACACAACATGCCCCTTCACTCCCCGTCCAAACTGCAGCACAACGAATAGTGTGCGTTCCGTTCGGATGGAAAATTTTCGCTGAAATGATCACGCATCAATGAACCTAATCGAATATCACGTCGATATAGGAGTATCGTCCCGCTGAGTGGCTAACGCGGCAGCACCGAAACGTACAATGCGTTTTTCCGTTACTTTCGACCATTCAAGTGATTACAAATCGCAAAAGAAAATCAACCCGTTTACCAACATATTTATGTACAAAGTACATGTTCATGGTATTCGCGTTCGAAATACATGTTCTCCGATCGAATTTTACTGTAGGTCAAGATAGAAAAACACATCTTAAATGAAGGATTACTAATGTCAACACGAGGAAATGAAAACTACAATTCTGACGTCCAGCGTTAACGTTAACGCCTAACGAGTTAAAAGGTAAAAGTTAAGTTAAAAATTTAAATTTATATTAACACATTAACTTAAATAGTTACTTTTGGACTTTCATTTAACTTACTATTAACTTATTAAATTTATTGTTTAATTAATGTCAAATTAACGAATTCATTATATTTTTTTCATTTCACTATTTTAATGTATTTTAATTTCATGTTAAAAAAAATGTATAGTAAATTGATTAAAGTTAAAAATTTTAAATTTTTCCAATCACTCCATAATCTAAAGAACATCCCATATATCAGAAAATATTTTATGATAAATAGGTTTAATGCTGTTATTGTTATTAATTTAACTATAACAAATATCGAATAATAATAATAATAAAGACACTAACATGTTCTATTATTGTAATCGATGATCAACGATGCGCGACGCCGTAATTTCGAGAAAAAATATATACCGATACTAAAATTTAAGAATAAACAAAAATAAAAACCAACTATCGATTTTACGATTTTCTGCGATGATATGGGCCTGTAATTTTATCAGTATTTAGTTACAATTATACATTTTTTATTATATACTTATATGGTAACAGCACGGATTATTTATTATTATTCAAATGGTTTTGTGGTATGCAGATAAATAATTGAAATATTTAAATTAAAAATAATCATCAAATAATTTAACAATTTTTACCAAGAAGAGTGAAGTTACAACTAATATTATATAAGAAGGAAATATTTATTTTTTTTGATTGTATCGTATTCTTTAATGTTTTTCAACATTAAGATTTTTGTCATGAGTTTTTTTTTAAGAACGAAAAACCTCAATGAAATGCATACTAAATGGAAATACTGTATGAAGTATAAGGATCATAGTAAATAATTTGGTTTTATGTTAAGAAATAAAGTACATCAAAGTTGTACAAAAAAAAAAAAAAAAAATCAACTTTTTTTTAACTTAATAAAAAGTTTTTAAAAAAAATGTGTATTAACTTAACAGAGTTAACCAAAAATTAAATTAACTTTTAACTTATTACTCTATCTTATTGATACATATTATTACGTTATGAAGTTAATTTACTTAATTTAACCAAGCCAGTAACTTGCGCAGCCCAGGGTGCAAAAATAGCAGCCAACTGCTCAGCCAATCGATTTTAATCACTTATCGACATAACGCCGTTAAAATAATAAGTAAACCATTTCAATAAAACATTATGACGAAGTCGGTGAGATTTAAATGATATACTGATTGTTGTTACTTAACATGATCGAAAGTTATGCATTATGTCTCAAATCAAAGGACTAATTTCATACACCCACGAATCATAGGCATTTCAAACGATCAGTGTTATCCCATAATTTTTTCCTTAAAATTATTTATCACGCGTATAAACACGGCGGCTCGTAACAATAATTCAATGATGTTATGCGCGCTTCAAACAAATAACGGGTAAGTTAGGTCATCAATATTGAAACATACAAATTACCCGGTTTATGATATATAGTAATAACCCATTACGTACGTATACACACACATACGCGCAAAGAAACATGTGCACATATACAGTCTGTAGTACACCGCTTGACTCTAAAATAATATATACACTATCCCGTGAAATTATTGATGTTATGTTTATTTATTTATTTTATTTTTTTATTATTATTTCGGTTGTAGTCGACTTGTAACACAAATGTCATCTCACTCACACACATACACAACAACGTATACGGTACACTGTTCTCGGCCAAATAAATAATTATATTAACACAAGCGAATAATGCATCAGTGTCAATTACGCGCAGTGTTCAGAACGATACCCTTCTAAAAAAAAAAAAAAACAACCACAACAACAACCCCATTTACAGTAATAACATTATTTTATTGTGTGAATGCATTTCGTAAATAATATAAAAGTGAAAAAATATTTTGAAAGCGCGAGTAATACGAATAAACATGAAAAGGTTGCCGTACGTACAGTATGTGGAAATTAATTTGTATTCATGAATATCACACCATCACATGACAATATAATGCACCAAAAGAATGATATTTAACACGTCAGTTAAGAAAAAAATGAAAAAAGCACAGAAATTCTTCGAATACCGGTGTAGTGTTTTTCTCATTTGTCTAATTGAAAAATATTTCGTCTGTAAATAGGGACGTACGAGGGATGAGTAGAATTTTTCCTCTTTCGCTTTTTCTACCGATGCAACAGCAGTCGAGTAGTACTTTACACTGAAATTCCTTAGTTATTTCTATCCCGTTGGAAACTAAGAAATATTCAATTACTTTCGTGGGGCGTCGAGAGAAATCGTTTTGGTGAAAAGATGTAAACGCGTTTGTTTTCCTTTCGAACCAAACCGCCGGTTTCAAATTCGTTCTCTATCACCGAACGTCTCTCGTGTCGAAATGGAGCCAGAAAGATTGGGTTGGACCGTACAATTATCGCTGGGGTTTCGCACAACTTGCTGGTTAAAAATACACGTATAAAAATTTTCCGTCAGACAATTATTGTTAATAATGATATTGAATTCGTTTTAATATCGTGAATCGAATAATACATACATATCACACATTATACCCTGTTGGTTTTGTTGTGTAAAATTGTTATATGAATGTGAATATAAATAAATTCACGATGTAAATTACAATGTTTTTATAATGGTAAACATTAAATTAAATCAAATATTAATAAATTATAAGTTTTAAGTGTGGAATACTGCCCGAGAGAAATTAATAATACATAAATAAATCATATAATACAATATAAGTCAAGTGAACATTTATTGCTAATTTATTTTGTAAAGAATTATTATTTATTTGCTAAACCCGACCTACCTGTATATGTATATATATATATATATTTCCAAAACATAAAATTATTGTTGATAAATATTTTTGTCAAACGTAACAAAATGAACACAAAATCATAAATTAATATAATTTATAAATAATTATACAGAGTAATTATTAAGCCGTTTGTTATGATTTCATAATAATTTCAAATTTTAAAAATTATGTGGTTTGCAAGTAATCTAGAGCGAAACGATTTGGCTGAAAAATACATTAACTTTTAATGCGCTCATTTACAAGATAATGTTGATATAATCACTTTTAATGTTTTTACTAAATGATAAAAATAAATATTTTTTAGTATTATATTTAAAGGTGTTTTCTAAATGTTCCAGGTATACACATTATTCGGATATAACTAAACCATAGACAATATTAACGCAGTTAAAAATGTATGCATATAAATTGGGGTGTTCATTAACTGCAATCTTATCGCTCTGAATACGAAATAGAATTCGTTTTGATAAAATATAAAAATAATAACATAAATAACATAGAAGTACCGTGTCGCAAATAAAATACATTTTTATGATTGTTTTTGGGATATGTGTCTTCAGCGTCCCAATGCTCGAAATGTCATGTGTAATCGTTTATGACGATTTGCTTTTTGCAAACAATGATTCGATTTACCACGTGCCACCACTACGATCGTCTATTTCTTTCTAGAAGTAAGCATAGAGCAGTAATGAGTGTAGGAGTTAATGTTACGGGCATTAAATCTATTATACCTGTCACTTTTTGAGAACTAATAAAGTTATATACACATTACGCACAAATTATGTCTTACGCTTCTATCATCTATATATATATATATATATATATATTTGTACGAAATCCAAAGTAAAAAAATTAAAAATTAAAAATTTATAGTACCATAAAGACAGTATAAGCTATCACTAAGTACAAAAATGTGCTCAATCACCAGGTCCTATCACTGGTTTATGCGATAGAATTTGCGAGAACAATTTAAAAATAAATCCCAAAAGCTGTGCGTCGCGTAACAAATAAAATATTATGATGTGCAACGTTGAAATATGCAAAACACGATATTTGTAATAAGTATAATATATTAAATGACGTAGACATTCGACAGTATTTTTATCAACGTATTTCCAAGACACACCATCTGTATTCGTCGTGGCCCGGTGACAAATATGAACACATGTGTTTCTCCATGATATTATGATGCCCATTTTAATAA